TTCATTCCGATGCTGGCCTCGGGGCCATAACTGGCAGGCTTCTAGCCACCAAATTCCAATCAATTAAGCACTCAGGGCTTTCTTTTATCACAGGATGGCGGAAAAGAGCACGGTTCGAAATATTGCCCAGAGAATTGGAGCTCTTGGATGCGCAGGCGTCAACTTATCATCCGCATCGCCAACGATCGTCTAGGGACATGATATCACCGCCATGTGGATATACGAGGCCTTCCCGAATTCAACGCTCCTGCCTAGTGACATGTCTGAGACCCATGCGACCTACTCAGGCGGGAATACGAAGGAACGACTATCTTCCTTCGATTGGTCTGTCCAGGGGAGACTATCAGGCAGGTCAATTTGGCCGAGAATGTTGATCTAGATATGATTTCAGGCGGATATGTTCTTCCTACATCATCATGGAGGACAATATTCAGTACATAAAAGCAAGGCGTCTTCCTACTGTCCCCTTCAGATTCATTTGACCCCATATCACATCGTCACAAACAATGCGTCTCTACTTTGTCTTCGCCATTGTCGCTGCTTTGACAGCATCGATATCTGCCAGTGACGCTGCCGGTAAGAACTGCCCCAGCTCTTGCAAGAAACAGAGCGACTGCGCAGGCTGCCCGCGCGTTTTACAAAATTGCGTAAGTATGAGTAGTTTGTGTCCTGGATTTTACATGACTCACCGGCGTGGTAGATCAAAAATCTTTGTCGCGACAAGTGAACTACAGTGAGTCGTGTGTTTGCTTTCACCTCGGTGCAGTATGGTTGATGGCATGACGTGTGAGTTAGTTGATTGCTGAGTTGATCAACGTGTCTGCTTCTGAACGAATTATACTGCCACTCGAGCAGTGGAGCATTGGCGATATTGGAATAGAGGAACTTGAATACAGAGATTACTGTAATGAGGCCATACTGATTTATTGATACAAAGCTAGGGATTGTAGAATACGAGTTATGCATGCTTGCCTGGGATCCCTGACCTCTACAGACATCAGGAAAACGCTCCTGTGTTAGCTAGAACAGATTAGAAACATTTTGCGCAACTAATGCTAATTAGACACATTAGAAGGGCTAACAAGGCTAGCGGAACTTTATTGCTGATTTTTATTTAACGATACCCTCTTGCCATTTAAAATAATTAGAAGAGTCCTAGATACAACTAGCAAAGCCTTGCGACGTCCTTAGATTGCACTAGGTGATACTGGATAGACTTTCACACTTGGGAGTACAAGAAACAATTAGTCATTATTAAAAGCGCGAGTGCAGTAACGTATGAGCGAATGTACGACAAAATGGCAGCGAGTGGTGGTTAGATGTATGCGAATAGCGTTACTGGAAGATAGTCCTGAAAATCCGATGTTTCCGTGTCATCGTCGGAACACATGCCGGTGATGTAATCTACTCGTCCTCCATGCCTTCCAGGTCCAAGAACGCAAGGTCAGCATCTTGGTCATAGGCTCCAGGGGCGTCATGACCGAAGCGCCTGTAAACAGCGCTAGATCAGCAACATGTACACCGCTCCGACACAGATTTACTGGACTTCCGCGTATATGTCCGCCATCATCTTGTGAAACTTGACGGGCGCCATCTTTCGAATTTTTTCCAACAATGACACGTGGTATGAATACATATCACAAAACTGATTACCAGTGAACTTGACGGGCGCCATCTTTCGAATTTTTTCCAACAATGACACGTGGTATGAATACATATCACAAAACTGATTACCAGTGAACTTGAAACCATCGCCCGACTTGTTTTTCTTCGCCAGGACACTGGCGTGAATCTAGCAACGAAGAACGTTAATGAGCAAATGAGCGTGAACACAGCAAAACCTACCGCAGTGCAGACAATAGCCAACATAGGGATGGGGATCTCTAGGCCACCAGCCTTATTCTTCGAGATATCGAGAAAGCGCTGAGAAAACTGCGAACCAACTGACTTCGCATTTTTGAAGAATATCTCATATTGAACGTGGAATACAGGCTGCCCTTGATATGGCTTCTGTCGGTTTGGTGAAGGAAGACCCTGCGCCTTGGTGAACCATGTGACGTGTCAGCACCATATCAACTTCATGCAAAAAAAAAATAACAAACATCAAACGATTGAGGAAAATGGTATGGATGATTAGCGAGAAGCCGGTCGAGGATTGTGTCACAGTCGTGGCCAAGCCGGAAGTAGTCTGGAGTATTCTTACAAGCCACATCCTTGATATCAGTGCGAAAGAGGCTAGCACGAGCATCAATCTATGACAGGTGTTGATATTAATTTGTAGTACGACATAACACTTACTAGATTTGCAAGCGCCAACAAGTAGTCGTCATCTGTCCGCATCTGCATCTCGATCGGTGCCATCTGGACAGTCTGGTGGTAAGTAGTTTACTGACCCCTCGCATATGAGTTCTCGGCCACAATTTCGGGATATCCATGCGTGAAGGGGACGTATACTTTAACCTCAAGAATACCACGTTGGATCACCTTACGAAATTCAGGGTTCTGGTCTGTGAGTCGCACTGACCCAGTTTTTGTGTAAACGAGATGAGCCACCTCGGGGAGACCCTTCCTTTGATTCAATACTGCGCGGCTTGGTTTCGTTACCAAGGGGGACTTGGAAACTGTGAGCGTCCTCAGCATCACCATTCTCGACTGCTACAGAACAGGATCTGTTGCTCTTGTTAGTGGGTGTGGCAGCCTGTGATCCGCCGAATGATGAGCTCGTCATTAGTGAGTCCCAGGGGACCTGTCGAGTCAGTTTCGAGTCAGTCAGAGTAGCAAAGACATTACCTCCGCAGCACGCTTTCTCTCTCTCGTATTAGAAGGCTTGAGTTTCCGAATTATTTTCATTATTGCTTAGATGTGAATTTCTGGTCCAGCTCTGACTCCGACGATGACGGTCTCGACACGCTACCAGCTAATTTGAAGGGGTTGTCCATCTCACCCCGGACTCAGAGGCGCGCTCCACGCCAGGGTTTCATGATGCCCTTGATCAAAGACGAAGAACAAGAAATCTTCGTAAACCTTCAGAATCCTTCGTCCGCGACGCACATACCTACTCGACCCCTCTTCCGGCCTCTTGTTTCAGTTGAACCTACGATGAACGATATGTTGCGGGGTCACCCGGATGTTAATGATCCATTATCGCGTCCATTCCACGACTTTTGGACGACTGGCTACTTCATTGGTTCTATTAAACTTTGGCTTTGATTTTGTCCCTTAGAATTCGAACATTTGGCTGACATAATCACATCGCAACTACGACGCTATGCCTTACTATGCCCTACGTTTCTTGGATACCTCTAGTTGAAGTTCATGATTTAATTCTCGAGGCATCCGTCGAATCCTCCTTCCTTAGCTCTAGCTTCTTGCTTTAATTCTCCTTATGTCGTTGAATCCTCCTTTGAAGCTTTTGTTCAATCGAAAATCAGCTTTGATATTGTCTTATTGAGTTTTTACCAAGAACCTAGTCAGTGGGTATACGAAGGGTGACTGTGTCGTCTCTCAGTGTGTGTGTATGTCGTCGGTATGTGTGCGTGCGTATTTTATGTGTGCGGGTGTGTTGAATAGTTTGACAGATCTAGCGCCATAATGGACAACCTAAAGTCTCTCCCCTACATTCATTCCGACGCTGGCCTCGGGGCCATAACTGGCATGCTTCTGGCCACCACATTCCATCCAAGTAAGCTCTCAGGGCTTTCTTTTATCACAGGATGGCGGAACAGAGCACGGTTCGGAATGTTGCCCAGAGAATTGGAGCTCTTGGAAGCGTAGGCGTCAACTTATCATCCGTATCGCCAACGATTGTCTAGGGACATGATATCACTGACATGTGAATATACGAGGCCCTTCTAAATTCAACTCGAGAACAATGCTCCTGCCTCGGGACATGCCTGAGACCCGTGCGACCTACTCAGGCGGGAATACGAAGGAGCGACTATCTTCCTTCGATTGGTCTGTTTAGGGGAGACTATCAGGCGGATATGTTCTTCCTACATCACTATGAAGGACAATATTTAGTACATAAAAGCAAGGTGTCTTCCTACTGTCCCCTTCAGATTCATTTGACCCCATATCACATCGTCACAAACAATGCGTCTCTACTTTGTCTTTGCCATTGTCACTGCTTTGACAGCATCGATATCTGCCAGTGACGCTGTCAGCGAGAACTGCCCGATCAATTGCAAGAAAAAGAGCGACTGCGCAGGCTGCCCGCGCGTTTTACAAAATTGCGTAAGTATGAGTAGTTTGTGTCCTGGATTTTACATGACTCACTGGCGTGGTAGGTCAAACATATCTGTTCTGGGTGAATGGCATGTCGCGACAGTGAACTACAGTGGGTCGTGTTTTTGCTTTCACCTCGGTGCAGTATGGTTAACGGCATGACGCGTAAGTTACTAGTAGTTTATTGCTGAGTTGATCAATGTGTCTGCTTCTGAACAAATCATACTGCTGCTTGAGCAGTGGAGCATCGGAGATATTGGAATAGAGGAAATTGAATACAGAGATTACTGTAATGAGGTCATACTGTCATATTTATTGATAAAAAGTCAGGGATTGTAGAATACGAGTTACTATCCCTTCCGGTGCGAGGACATGTAGGAAATGGCCGGTCTGTGTGAGGTCCGCACAGACTCCACGCCAAAGTCTGCCAAAGTGTTTGGGTGAAGTGTGGGGGACACGTCTGGGGGTATTTGGTTGGCAGGTTCCAGGCTGTATGTTGTTCTTACGCTGCCCTGCCTTCTACATCAGCCACTGTCACACATCCTGCCGTCACCCTGCTGTCATCATCAGTGTGCTAGCTGCCATTGGAGGACGAAAATGTCATCACCCTCCATCTCCAGCAGTCCCTGCACCACAGATACTAGCACCCTCTTTGCTGCAGTATGACACTACAACGAACTGGCAAATATGTTGCTTCTTGACCTCACATGTTTTATCCGACGTGCACACCTACTGAAGGATGACATTCTTCAGCCACAGCCTCACACTGAGCCTCAATCACCACATTTCTCTCTCAGTCATTTAACATATTGGTGGATGCGGTAGACTATCTCTGGGAGATTGTGAAGGATCTTGTGTGGACCCTGCCTAGTGCAGCTGAGGAACAAGCTGAGGAGGAGGCTTCTTTCATGATACATGGACATCCACTAGGTCTCAGTGAGTCTGAGTCTGTTATCCTTGGACTGAACTAATTTCTGGCATAACAGCGCGTGTCCTTTATCCTCTGGTCAAGACATGTATCAATCCCAAGTGCACTGCCTGGCAGCTTGGATCCCTCCTCAAAAAAGAAGAGCAACAATGTGTTGTTGTTTTCACACATGCAAGTGGCACCCACTCTGCATGGTCCATTCACCTGAAATGTCAAGGTATGACACTCCCATTCAAATCTGGAAATCTTCACTGACTCTCAATTAGCATGCAGCACCAACTATCATCATAATTACAGTGTCAGGGACAAGACTTGCACATACTATGGTGGAATACCATCACATATACAGGTTGCAGAGCATTAGTTTGTCGAGCTTGAGTTGGCAATGCAGTGGATTGATCTTATGCAAATTGTGTGAGTATTTTTTGACTACTTTGTGACCATGTTTAACATTATGCTTTGCAGTGTTTCAGTGACGAACTGCACACACATATACAAAATCGCTCAGGCCTGTAGCAGCACAGAGTGTGACAAATCATGGCAGTTCTTGACTTCACTGACGACATGAGAGGTCTGGGATGCATTTGTTATTGTCTCATTGCTTGATCACCAGCAGACACGAGGGGGACAGCTCCAAGTCTCCCATGATGGGGACCAAAAGGATTGCCATACAGCTGCTATGTGTGCACACACCGAATGGATCATGACCCATGGTCAAGAAGAGCTCCCACATGCATGCTATGGGTGTATGCAAGTTTTGCCTCACCTGACAGCACACTGCAGTCCACCAAAGTCATTGTGACTGATGGTGTCACTGTTGGACAGCCCTGTTGTGCCATACCATGGTGCAAAAACCCATTGATCACCAACCACTGCAGGTACTGCCTCAAGCACCAAAATCTCGAGAGTGTTTGCACTGTGGAGGGCTGCAATCAGGGAGTTACCAGTGATCCTAAGACCAGGAAGCTTCAGAAGGCCTTGGAATGGTTCAAGCCTGACCTCTTTCCCTCCAATTCTAGTAGTATCTGCCCCTACTGGATGGATGACTACACTGATTTCATCAGAACTCCAGCAGAACTTTGGACCTCATGATCCCTCCAGAGATGTGGAAATGCAACTTAAGCAACTCTCTATGCATGACTCTAACCACATCAACAAGTACATTGTTGAGTTCCAATGCCTGGCTGCCTGAGTCCGTGGTTGGGGTGGCAGTGCACTCTGCTGCCAGTTCTACAATGGTCTTCTGACACAGATCAAAGATGAGATCTGTCGTCAAGGCAAGCCAACAACTCTAGTTGAGTTCAAAAATCTTGCCCAGCTCATAGATGCCTGTTACTAGGAGTGCAAGGACAAAGTCTCCCGCAAGACAAAGTCTGCCCTGTTATATACCACCAAATCAACTCCGTCATCTTCCTCCGACAAATCATTGTCTGCTCTGAAAGCCTTCACAAAGCCTTCTGTCCCTTCCAGTGCTCCTGACCTAACTTCTAAATTAGGAAAAGACGGAAAGCTTATGAATGAGGAGTGGGCAAGGCACCTGGAAAGGAAATTGTGTCTTTTCTGCAGCACAGCTGGCCATGTTGCCAAGGATTGTCCTAAATCTACCTCCTGTGCCTCCAAAGGCCACACTACGACTCTTGATCCTGACTCCAATGAGTCGGATGAAGTCACCACCTCTCCTGGAACCAAACAGGAGGTCTCCAACGAGACAAAAAAATAGTCCATGGCCCTCCCAACTCCACACAGCACGAGGGCTGCATTGACCCTGCCTGTATTAAGGAGCTCCGACTCAATGCTTCCGCTCTCTCTGATCCATCATCTCTTACACCTCATATATCATTGTCTACTTATGCTAATATCTCCAATTTTCCTGCACTTGTAGATTGTGGCTCCTCACATTGTTTTGTAGAGACCACTTTCATATGCAAAAACTCTCTTACTACCTATGCAAACTCTCCTATTCTGCTCTGCCTCTTTGACAGCTCCTCTAATGCAACTATTACAGAAGCAATTGAGTTGCCAATCCAATTCCCAACTGGGGAAGTTACCTCTGAAACATTTTTCATTACTTCATTGGATTCATTGTGTATGATCATTCTAGGATATAGCTGGCTCTACCAACATAATCTGTTGATTAACTGAGTACTGGGCAGCATCAATTTCCATCCAACATCTCACAGAATGCCTCTGTCACCTCTGCTTCCTAAAGCAAAACTTCCACCTCAGAATGACCCTAGTCCCCAAGCTCCTCCCGTCATCACTGCCAACTCGACACCTCCACCTATAGCTCTAATAAATGCAGTAGCTTTTTGTCACACCTGTAAGCTAGATGGTTCTGTCCAGTTCAGTATCTACCTCCGTCCTTCTGATCCCAAGCTCTGTGCTACATCCGCTTCAGGGGCACCCACTGACCCTAGTGGAATACCCTCTGACTACCACAATTTCACCAATGTCTTTGACAAAGGCAAGGCTGGAGAACTACTGCCTCATCGCCCCTATGATCTGAAGATAGATCTAGAGGATGGCACAACTCCACCCTTGGGAACCATATACTCCCTTTCCCCCATTGAGCTAGAGGCTCTCCACAAGTTTCTTGATGACAATATTGCAATGGGATTACTCCGATCATCCTCCTTTCTGCATGGAGCCCCCGTCCTCTTTGTCAAAAAGAAGGATGGCTCCCTGCACTTCTGCGTTGATTTCCGAGGACTCAATAATATTATGAAGAAAGACCACTATCCTTTGCCTCTCATTGCCAACCTTCTTGATTCTCCAAGCCACGCTAAAGTCTACACCAAAATTGACCTCTGTGCTGCTTACCACCTTGTTCGCATCACAGAAGGTGACAAGTGGAAGACTGCTTTCCACATGCACTATGGCTCTTTTGAATGGTTGGTGATGCCTGAAGGGCTAACTAATGCTCCTGTGGTTTTGCAGTGTTTTGTCAATACAATCTTTGCTGATTTACTTGACATCTATGTTATTGTATACCTTGACAACATCCTTATCTACTCTGCTAACCTCACTGACCATAAGAAGCATGTCTGTGAGGTACTCTGCCATCTCCAACTGTATTGTCTATATGCTAAGCTGGAGAAGTGCACCTTCCACACCAACACTGTGGAGTACCTCAGTTACCTCCTTTCTCTGCAAGGCCTCACAATGTCCTCCGACAAGATCCAGGCTATCTGTGACTGGCCTGAGCTATGGAAGGTTAAAGATATTCAATCTGTCTTAGGCTTCACCAATTTCTACCGCTGATTCATCTTCAACTACTCCAATATCATTGTTCCGCTCACCCACCCTACCCGCAAGGATGCTCTGTGGGTCTTCTCCAATGCTTGTTGGGGCACCTTCAATATACTGAAGAAAGCCTTCATTCAGCCCCAGTGCTGACTCACTGGATGCCGGATGTTCCTCTTGTCATGGAAACTAATGCCTCTAATTGCACTATTGCTGGTATTCTTTCTATACAGTGCACAGACAATGAACTCTGTCCCATTGCCTTCTATTCCCACACCCTCTCCGCTCTGAAGCTTAACTATGACACTCATGACAAGGAACTCCTGGCTATTCATGAAGCTTTCTGCATATGGTGGCATTACCTTGAAAGCTCCACCCTCCCCATAGATGTGGTCACTGACCACAAGAATCTTGAATATTTTGCTACCACCAAACTCCTTTCATGCTGCCAGGCTTGCTGGTTGGAGTTCCTCCATCAGTTCCATCTCATCATCTGCTTCCGCCCTGGCCACCTCGGGGTAAAACCTGATGCCTTTACTCGCCACTGGGACATCTACCCAAAAGAGAGGGATAAGGACTATGCTCAGGTCAATCCACATAATTTTAAACCTGTGTTTACTCAAGAACAGCTCACTTTGTCCCTATGAGCCACTATCCTAGCTGAACCAGTACTCCACACAGCAGTCATAATGGACACAGAAGCGCTCTACAAGGATATTATCTCCACCCTTTCCTCTGACCCCATTACTAGTATCCTACTCTCTGGTTCACCTGATCCAAGATGGACAGTTGACACTGAAGGCTTCTGTCATATACCTGATCCGACTGCTCCGATATTGATATCCGCTCCGCTTTCCAACCCCCTCCGCTCCATCCATCCTCCGCTCCATCCAATCACAAATCCGCATTCCACCCCTATGCTTCCGCTCAACCACTCAACCGGCCCCCTTCCATAACCTCTCCATTCAACTGGACCTCTTTCCCCTTTTAGATATATACTTTCCCCTTCGGTACATAGACCCTTACTTCCGGATCACCGGTAATTCCTATTACCGCTCGATCACTGATCCGATGCGTACATATTGATATCCGCTCCAACTTATGTCTTCACCTGTGTAAGTACTTACAAATTATATCCTTGGTACATAGCTTTACAACATAGTTATCCTGGTCACTGCCTCATACATAGAAGTATATAACATATCATGTACTTAGATATTTTCCTCAGTCTTAATATTACTTGTCTTCTCACAGTTACCTCTTGTGAGAATTCTCAGTAGGACCTTGCCTCCTCTGGACACAAGTATCAACTTGTTGTCGCCTCCAACCCTCCGATCCTCCAACCCTCCACTCCGACTTAGAGCCATGCTCTAAGTGCTTCCCTTATTCCTCCGCCCCTATCAATATTCCCCTTGTCCCTTTTCCCATCCTCCGCCTTCCCCGCTCCTACCAAACCTTCCCCCTGCTCCTATCCACCCTCCACATCACTCCCTGCCTTCTCCACTCCGCTCCTAGTCGGCTCGCCACTAGTAGCTCTTACTTCCCGACCCTCAAAGCAGACCGAAGCGGTCCACTTGTCCTATCGTCGGACAATGTTGGACCCACTCCAAATTCGGGGCACATACTCGGCTAAGGGTGCAGTGCAAGAGCTGAAGCCAAGCCCCGACCCCTCTGCCTCCTGAGCCAGCACAGTACCTAACATACTTACAAATTATATCCTTGGTACATAGCTTTACAACATAGTTATCCTGATCACTGCCTCATACTTAGAAGTATATAACATATCCTGTACTTAGATATTTTCCTCAGTCTTAATATTACTTGTCTTCTTGCAGTTTCTACTTGTGAGAATTCTCAGTAGGACCTTGCCTCCTCCAGACACAAGTTTCATCTTGTTGTCACCTCCGACCTTCCACTCTGACTTAGAGCCGTGCTCTAAGTCTCCCCCTTTACTTCTCCACTCCTACCAATCATCCCTTTGCTTCTATCCATCCTCCACCTTCTCCACTCCACTTCTAGTCGGCCCGCCACTATTAGCACTTACCTCCCGACCCTCAAAGCAGACCAAAGTGGTCCACTCGTCCTAACATCGGACAATGTCAGACCCGCTCCAAATTCGGGGCACATACTCGGCTAAGGGTGCAGCGCAAGAGCTGAAGCCAAGCCCTGACCCCTCCGCTTCTTGAGCCCAGCACAGTACCTAACAGTTACTCATTTCTTCAACATTGACCAATGCGACCATACCTCTGTCCTTCTTCGACTTAATGGCTGTAATCGCAGCCCCCGTGAGCACCTTGTAAATTTCACCATTGGGGAAGCCCATTGGGCAGTTGCTAGACATGTGCCCAGCAAACAGCTCACAACATTTGAAGTATCCATTGTTGTCATGCAGGAGTTAATTTTCAGTGTCCGAGAGCCATGGGAGGCAAGAGAACATTTTGTCAGAGGAGGAGGTACTGTTGGATTGACCATTAGGTGCCTTCATGCTTGGGGGTGCATTCCTGGCAGGTTTCTTTTCTGTTCCAGAATACACACATTCTGCTTGCAAGGCTGCATCAACAGCATATTTCTGTCAGGCAAGGTAGCGCATCCTTTTCTCATCAAGTAGGCACACCTTCTTGATCCATTTACACAGCACCTTCTCTTTGATGTCCTCAGCGTAGTAGTCTGCGGCAAGATTGGAATTCATGTGGGATTCGAGGTGGTACAGTAGATTGACATTG